GTGGGGAGGGTGTGGTTACCCACCGCCGTAGTGCTCACCTTCGAACCATTGCCAACAATAATATGTAATGGGAAATTTAAAGATTGAGAAGAGACATGAGAAATAGTACCTGGGTCCGAGGCAATGTGGTGCGTGGCTCCCGTGTCAAAATACCATGTGGGTTCCCGAAGGGTCATGGCATCGAATTGGTGTGCTAGGGCTGTGGGGGTGGAGTTGGGAGCCTACGGATGGGGGGGTGGTTGCGGGTAGGGAGAGGGGTACGGGTTGGGGGCTGTCGGGTAGGTGAGTGGGGGTGGGGTGGGGTAGGCTGTTTGGCCGTAGGGTTGGGGTGGGGTGTTTGGGGTGTAGGAGTAGTGTGCATAGGCATTGGGTTGGGTTAGGTAGGGTGGACGCGGGCCGAGGAGACCCGAGCCCGGGTTGGGATGCGGTGAGTTCCAAGGTACGTAGTCGTCATACGGGTGTCGTTGCGAACCAGAGTTTCTTCCTCGTCCACGTCCACGGCCGCCTCCACCGCGACTGGAGTTGCGCCCCTGCTGCCCGCGACCGCCGCCGCTGCCGCCGTTGTGCCCACTGCCGGGCGTCCCACCGCTGCGCCCGAAACCGCCGCTACTACCGCCGTATGGTGAGCTGCCGGTTCGGCCAGCCATGAGCGCCGTGCCGGCGTCGTCCATGATGGTTTGTCGTTGCCGTTCAAGGAGCAGGAGAGCGGATCGGGTCTGAAGGAACGTGGGCAGCGGTTGTTGGAATTGCAAGAACGATGTCTGAGCCTAGAGATCGTCGGGTAGCCCACGAAGCATTTGAAGCACAAGTTGAGACTCAGAGACCGGGGCGTCAACATCATCCAACCAATCGGCAATGTTTCGCAAAGTTTGACAGTAAGTGGCCATGGTCATCGAACCCTTGATGGTGGTTCGAAACTGGTGCTCGAGTTGCATCGCCCGAGCATGTTTGTTGTCATGAAAGAGAGCATGAATAACCCGCCAGAGTTCAGCGGCGGTGGTGGTGGTGCAGATAACCAGATCTGAGACTTCGTCAGTGATGGTAGAGAGAATCCAACCTTGGATCAGGGCGTCAAGCTGGAACCATTCATCATCATCGGCAGAAGAAGGAGTGGTAGAACCTAAGAGAAACCCGTGGAGGGTGAATCAGCGCACCAGGAGGAGAAAGAGCCGGCTCCATTTTTTGTAGTTGGGCTGAGAAAAGCTGAGCTAAATTGGGACATGAAGCTTGACGTTGGAGATTGTTGTGAAGGCAAAATGAGGAGCATTCGAGGAGGAGGAAGAGGTTGAGTTTTCTGAGGGTTTATCAGAGGAAGCCATATTGAGAGGGGAGGGCGCTGTCGTCGCCGAGGAGGAGAGGGGCTGTGCTGCGTTGCTGCTGCCGAGGAGAGGAGGACGGCGGGTGGTGTGCGGCGCTGGGAGAAAGCACGCCGAGAGGGAGGGAGAGAGCACGGGTAGGGTTAGGGTTTTTGGGTTGAGAGATTATGGCTCCGATACCAAGAAGAATTATGAATTTCCTTAAACAATAATGTGGGAGTACATGTGTTTATATACACAAGCTATGCCTAATCCTAATCATGGTAGGATTCTACAATAGGAAACAATATACATACAATAAATATAGAATACTGTATATATTTAACATAAATATAGAATATATTTAACACTTACTCCCTGCTGGGCGTGTGCTCTTGAGGAAGAAGAAGAAGAAATTAGCTTTATAAAAAAAGAGTGTTTGGGAGAGGAGCGAAGAAGAGTGACAACATGAGGTACTATGAGACTCTGGGTGTTCCCAAGAACGCCAGCGTAGATGATATCAAGAAAGCTTACCGCAACCGCCATCAAGAACCACCCTGACGAGGGCGGCGATCTTGAAAAGGTACTACACTGGATGCATGCTAACTCACTACGACACTACATCTCTAATTTCGTCTCCATTTTTTTGGCGGTACATAATTTCTTCTTGTTTTATATCAGTATATATACTTACGTCCAGTCAAGGAGTCTGTACATACGTTTCGTCATGCCAAAATCCCTTCGTCAAAGGGAGACTGTACATTCGCTTCGTTGTGGAGTTCCCCGACTTGCTCTGCCCGGAACAGGTTGAGGCGTTGGAGTTGAGCCCAACCAATTATCTTGTTCCATTCATAACATTACAGTTTCATCTTTTCTTTGGTATACTTTTCAATGAATATCATCTTCATTGACCCTTATTTTGTTCTGCACATACCACAGAATCTGAGGGGTCTTTACTGTTGGCTTATTAATGGAATTTACACACAGCCTTGCCACTCTTAGAAGACCTCCAAGTTCTTGGGAATCATAATCATCTCCGAGGTCGGGATCTAACACTCTATATATCGATTTTCTGAAACGAGATTCTTGAACCCATTTCACCAGTTCACTGCCCCCATCTTCAGAGGACTGTCCCGTGATCAGCTCCAGTATCAACACACCCAGCTGGAATATTAACTTCTTGCACTTCTCATCTACACACACTGCAAACTTAGATGTTATGTTTGATCTATCTATTCATATAGTCTCATCATAGTCAGAAAAAACTGGGATTTACTTGATGCATTTCATACCTTCCGAGCACGAAGATTTGAGGATCTTTGTTCTGCTTCCGACAGGACTAAGGAGCCTGATATCAAAAAGCTAAAACATGGAATCTCTTTTAAGAAGGGTTATCATGAGAGTGAGAGAGATGTTCAGAAGTTGGTAGGTATGTAGTGCTTACTTTTGCATTGAAATCCTCATCCAACAAAACGGTGCTTGAACTTAGGGTCACATGGTAGATGGGTGGATCACAGAAGAAATGCAAGTATTCCTACATCAAGATAAATTTCTTTTTTTAAGTATTTCAAGAAATGTGAAGTGTATGGACGCCAAGGTGCATAGCTAGAATTATGATACTGAGCAAATTTCAAGGAGTGGCTCTTAACAAGAATAAACTCCCTTCATCTTTCACAACTGATCTAAACCATTAACCTTGTGTAGTGGTATAAAAGAAGGGCGACTTGAAGAACCTACCAGAGCAGCAGCTATACCAATGGCTATCTGCAATCTTGTTTGCCAGTTTAACGGACTCTTCAATGGGTCTAGAAGAACCCAAGTGTTATTAAGAGGCAAAATTAATCTAAAAAATAGTACAGAAACATGCATCTATACCTGATAGGTGCTCCTTCAGACTTCCATTTTCCACATTTTCAAACAATAGGAACCTGAAATCACAATAGCAGTTACTCAGTTAGGCTACTTATTGTTGGGAAAATTATTTTATCCCCTTCACATTGTATTGTAGAGTAGTTAAAAGCCACCATCCGTGTTTACAGGCTAAACAGATTGAAAATTATTCCAATCAGGTAAAGACACTTAAATATCTACCAGATTCAAGTGAATGCAGCATCAAGGAGCCTTACATATTATAAATGCAGGTGATTTTCTTACCTCTTTGGCCCGCTTGAGAACCCCACAAGAGAAACAATGTGACGGTGATACAAATGCCAAAGGAGTTGTACTTCATTGAAGAACATATCATCATCTTGATCATCAAGATTTTTGACCTCTTTAACCTGAAAAGAAACCTGACCATTCTGGAAACTCGCTCTGTATACTGCCCCATGTGAAGAGCTATCAATGAGTCTTCCAAATCCTCCAGTAGCTCTCTTTATATCCTTGTATGAAAAATGCTTGACAAAGGGCAGTGAACCTAAATAAACCAAGAAAAGACAAAATTAACCCCGAAACCAAAAGCCATAACTTTACCTATTACGACTTGGGTTTTACCTCGAAGTATCAATCTCATAAGAGTAGTTCAATAGTTCATAATCTATTCCCCTCAAAATAAACAGCATGACTCTCTTTCCATTTGTCTTCAATAAGAGATCATTTCTTATCGGGGGAGGGGGAGGGGGGGGGGAATATTTGTTTGACATTATTTCTTT